CTGGAAATAATAATATTTACGAAGAATATATTTTTAAGTTTCGAAAGACTAAAATTTTTGCAAAGTTTACAAAAAGAAATTATTTTCTCCGACATAACTGAAAAATTGTTCAACTTACAAAAAGAAAATGTCAATTTTTGTTAGTTTTTTCTTTAAAAATAGAGAAAAAATAGAAAAAAAAGTGAATAATTATTGAAATTATTTGTATTGAAAAAATATTTTACAAATTTGAAAGTTCAACTTTTTTTCACACAAACTTCTTTATACTAATAATTAATGAAAAAAATTCGAATAAAAAAATCAAAATTCATAATTTTATATAGTTTTTAGCTGAATTTTTGAAACTTAAAAAAAGATGTTACTCATTCAAAAGTTAATATACGAAATAATTGACGAAAGAGGCGAAATATTAATTTTATACAAAAATGTCAATGGTTGAAAATTTGTTATTTCTTTCGCTAGAGAAAGTGTTGAAAATATTTATGATATTGAAGTATCAATGCCTGCGAGCACACTTATTGAAAAATGGATCGCTGAAAACACGATGAAAGTCTGCCATGGCTAGCTTTGCAGTTCCCATGGGGAAGATGTAGAGTGCCGTTATTCAAAGTTTTTCCTTTTATTTTTTATTCTACACTCTCGAAAATAGAAGCCATTTTTCTACCCACAATAAAATCTGCCTAAGAATATATTTTCAAAAATGAACAAAAAAATTTCTATCAACTTTTTCTTTTTTTTTTCCTCTTTCAATTTAAAAATCATGTTAAAAATATGTTTGATATTAATTTTTATAGTTAATACATTTAATACTTATTTTTCAAAGTTTCATTTTTCTCTTCATAATAATTTTCTGAAATTGTAATATAATATTATATAAAAGGTTTTTAATTGAGATTTTTTTTTTAAATTTCCAATAAAAAAAAAAATAAATAAACCCGTTAAAAATACACAGCAGAATTAAATTCTTTTCATGTTACTCTAAATTATGAAAGTTTTAATTAATCACGCTTCATTTCTATATCAAGTAAAAATTAAATTTCTCATTATTTTCTCGATAATTTGAAGGAAAATAAAAAATACTATTTTTATTCCTTTAGAGAATATAAGTTCTCGTCGTATTTTTCTTTACTCCATTTATACAATCATGACAGAAGGTTTATTTAAAAATTGCTATTAAAAAAAAAAAAAATTCGAAAAAAAGAAAAGAAAACAAGAATAATAAAAAAAAAAAACTTAGTGGAGTAATTAGTCGGCTTCTTTTCTTTCAAGCTATTCGTTTCCTTCAACCAATTTAACTTTCCAGTTTTAAGCAAGTCCTTTTCGTTTTTTCTGGAAAGTAGTCCGACGTCCTTTTAGCATATTTTACCTAGGATTTTTTATGGGCTCTGATTTTCTTGGTAAAAATTTTTTCTTTTTAGCACGATTGAAAACTTTTTATTTTTCTTTGCCTGGTCGACTGATCCGTTGGATCGTAGCGAGCTCAACTTTATAATGATATTAATACTTGCGATCAATGTATGACAGCTTTCTTTCTTCCAAGAGAGAATAAAAGTTTTCAAAAAAAAATTTTGAATTTTTTGAATTGCTCTAGTTTTTTTTTTCTTTTTGAATTTCAATAAGAATTTACTATTTTTTTTTCTTGTTATGTGAATATGACCTATGATCGCATTTCTTTAAGTTTCGAGGGATTAAGAAGAAATGGATTTCAGAGCAATTTCAAGGGAGTCTTCTTCTTTGTCGTTTTCTCTCTCTCTCTCAAATCAAGAAACTGTTTTTAGTTGAAATCAAATTTCAAGGGTACTTTATCTATAACTATATATATCGTGCGCTTCGAAAATCTAATCTGCCAATCGTCTTAAAGCTTTGAGAATTCACTCTCTAAAAATGTTCCCTCTATATAAGGGACTTTTCGAAAATAAAGTTTTCTGTCAAGCATACATTAAATTATTTTCTGTATTTTTCTATTATCTTATCTTATATCTTATATTATATTAAAATGTTTATGTTTTATTTTAAAATGTTTTAAAAAATTTTTTGAAAAAAATTTTTTTTACAACCCCTTCCAAGGTTGAAAAATTGATAATGAAAGGGGTATAAAATTTATACCCCTCCAAGCTTCCATTAATTAATATATATATATATATATATATATATATTTGTTCTAAAAAATCGAAAAATTAGGTATAAATAGAGAAAAAAAATTGCAAAATTAGAGTTATCAATTGACCAAGGATTTTATTTTTGGTAATGGCTCCTAGTGAGTCTCCTAACATTCCTACACAATTTCAAAAAAATCGCTGCCCGGAAACTCTCAATTTTTAGACCTAAAAAATCGAAAATGGTTTCTTTTTTGCTATGAAATCACCACGAATTCTAACACAAAACTTTCAAATTTTTCTATTTCCGACAGTAATATTTCTTTTTAAATAACTTCATTCTTAAAAAACAATCATACAATTATTGTTATTTATAAATTATTTATTGAATAATTTTATTTAAATATTTCAATATTAATTGTCATTTAAAAGAATTGAGTTTACAATTTTCAAAAATAGATGAACTTCAAAAGGCTTTAATTTGAAATTTCATAAACTTTCAATTTTTAATGAATGTAATTAGAAACTTTAAAAAACTTAGATTTTTTCAAAATGTTAATAGTTCAAATTCTTCTTAAAATTAGTTAAATTTATCAATATATCGTCGGTTGGGTGCAGAAAGATGCCAATTCAGACTAATTAACAAATGAATTTTTTCACTTCGAATTAAAATTTTCTTTTAATAATACTGCGAAAGGAAGGAAAAAATAAATTATATAATCTCTAGGTGTTCAATTTACATTCCCAATTTTCTATTGCACTCGATCTCAATTTATTATTGAAAAATTAAATTTCTGCGAAGAATTTTATTTCTTTTGAAAATAATTGAATTGTTTTTTAGAATTTTATGAAAATTTATGAAAATATAATTGAATTCTTGTGAAAATTTTTTTTAAAAATAATATTCAAAAGAATTTAGTAAATAGGAAGAATTTTGCTATTTATGGAAAGAATTGAATTCTTGAGCAGAATTCTTTTACAGTTTCTAGAAATAATTGATTTCTTTCGACGAATTTTAATAAATTTTTTCAGAATAATTACATTTTTCAAGGAATTCAATTAAAATTGTATTAAAAATAATTGAAATTCTGAAATGAGTTTTAATATTTATGAAAATAATTGAATATATTGAGAACAAAATTTTTAAAATTAAAGTTATAATTACGGTGACTAACTTCCCTTGATTATTTTCGAAAAATTTAAATAAAATTCTTTAAAAGAATTTAATTATTTTTAATAGAATTTAATTTATTTAATAGAAATTTCAATTATTTAAAAAATTTTCAATTATTTTTGTTTATAAAAATTTAATTACTTTGAAACAATAGCATTGAAAAATTTTAAAAATCTTTTTTTTCAGAATTTTCAAAAAGACTTTGCGAAAATTCAATTTTATTAAAAAATTTTAAGTGTGTATCTTTTTTTAAATTTACTAATAAAAATTTTAATTATTAATCTTCGCACTAAGAAACGTGAATATGACTAATAATATGACTAATAATATGATAATATGACTCTTTATAAAATTCAATTATTTTTCAATTATTAAATTAAAATACTTTGAAAATTCGATTTGTTATAAAGTTTTTTATGAGATTCTTTAACAAATTTAATTATTTTCAGTTGAATTTCACAAAAATTTTTATTAATTCGATAATTTCTTTTTAATTTATTTACGAATTTATTTTTAATTTATTTGAATCAGTGACTAATTTTTTATTATCAAATTAATTATTTTTAACTAATTCAAATTTAGAGAACAGTATAAATATTTACAAAAATTGAAATAAAAAGCGATTTTTTAAAAACAAATTAAAATTATAAAACTTTTTTAATTTGTGCGAAAAAATTCCCGGTTTGGCATAAAATTCCTGGCTTATTCCCGGTTAGAGGACACCCTGAATTTCTAAAAATAAATACAATCCATAGAATTATTTATAACATGTTATGAATAATTCGAAGTATTTCTCAGCAATTTTTTAATTTTTCAAAGCTTCAAGAATAAAATGCATTTTTATTCTTAAATAAGAATTTCTTAATTTTAGAATAAAACCTTCCTTTACAAAACTGTATATGGCTAAATTATATAGAACTTGTTCTACTTTTAAAAATAAAAGTGTTTAAAAAGAAAAGAGAGTGAGAGAGAGAGAGAGAAAGAAAAAAAACGAGTTGACATTGACCCTCTATTTATTTCAAGTGCAAAAATTGTTGAGAAAAACAGTATTTTAGTAGCCATACAACAGACACTTTGAGGATGACTTTCTGTCGTTGACGTGACTCGTAAATGGAAAACAAGCAAGGTCGTCAAATTCTCCAGTAGAAAACTAGTCGGGTCACGCTATGCTTGCTTACTAGAAAATAAAAGCACCCACCGTTATTTTCTACTTTTCCACCGCACTTACAACCCTCTTAACAATTCATCGATTCCTGTGCAAATATTTTTACGATCCATTATTTTCGCCTCTAACTCTTTAAAGAAAAAAAAATCAAATACTAATTCCAGCCTGGTTCTAATTAGGATGCCTCGTTATAGTGTTAATTTAAGGATTTACAATTATAAATAAATAATTTAATTAACCCAAGAATATGTTTTTAATCTTTTATATAAGGATTATTCTTCACTCAATGGTCATTTTTTATTATTTTTATTATTATTATAATTTTTTTTATTTAGATTTCATGTTTTTCTGTTTAAAATAAATTAATTGTACTAAATAAATTAGCAATCATTATTTTTAATTCGTTTACAATTGTTTAAAAGCAGTTAAAATATTTATCTCCGATTGTTTCTTTTTTCAGAAAGTTGTGTCACGAATTTTACTAAAAATTTCGAAATAGAAAGACACGATGTTGATGTAAAAAAAATTATTATTACTTTTAAACTAAACACGTGTCAGTTATTTTAGGTACTTCGTGGATCATTTTCATTGGCTATAGATTTTTTTGTAAATTTGTTGTCCCTACTTATAGATATATACTAAAAAGTGTATTTAGAAGCAACATTGTCATTACAGAAATTCCATATCAGGGGTAGAAGAAAAGTAAAAATTTTCGTTAAAATAATTCTACAATTATTGTGTACCGTTTTCTTGATATGTATGGGATTCTTTAATAATTACAAGAAAGTAGTGACAGAAGCACAAGAGATTGATGAAAATTCAATAAATAATGAACAGGTAAATTACAAATTAATAAATTAAATTCTTTTCTGACGATCACACTGAAAACAAAAATTAAAAGTGTAGACGATGTTATACTACAAATGCTTTATTTTCCTTTTCGGGTATCCAATAGATAATATATTAAAAATTAGTAAATCCAATTTTCAAGATGTAATTGCTTCATTTACTGATACAGCAATGGTCATTTATTATTTACACCAAAAACAATACAAGTTTTTGTTACATTCGATGAATAAGAGTAAAGAAATGAAAAAAATAATGCTGTTAGATTGTGTGCCAGAATTAAATGGAAATAAAGAAACATTTGAAAAACTGTATATACATTTTTTGGCGTCTTAAAAAATTATTTAACAAATTTTGATCTAAATAATATTTTAGTACTAAAATCAGTACATGAAAAAGAAAATTTCTTTTCGAAATATATATTTTTACAAAATTTGAAAATTAAAATTGTTGAAGTGCTTTTTAAGAACAAATGAATAAATGACTTATAATAATTTTTTATTCTTAAAAATACACAAATGCCTGAAAAAATAAATAATCTTTAAAAATAAAATCTTTAAAAGTAAGTTGAACTGAAAAGAAATCTTTGTCAAATCGAAGAAACGAAAATTATGACATAAAATAAACTTTATCAACGAACGAGTTCTGAACGGAATATTAAAATAATAATAAAAAAAAAGAAGAAAAAAACCTGTTTTGTGAAAAAAAAGAGTTGATGTTTTTAAAAGAAAATTGTACCTAATTGTAATTTTCTTTTTGTAAGTTAAAAAATTTTTTAGTTAAGTTGAAGAAAAAAATTTCTACTTTTTATAAACTTTGAAAAAATTTTAACCTTTTGAAACACAAAAATATATTTTTAAATATTATTATTTCCAGAGTAAATTTCACGACTTCTAAAGTAAGTTTCATTTTACTAAATTTGTATAAATATACAAAAGAAAAATTAGGCCAGAAGAAAGAAAGAAGAAATCGTTTAGGTAAAGTATGAAATTATTCAAAATACTGCGATTCAGTGAAAAATAAATTATAACAAAACATTTGAAATTAATTCTTTTTTTAAATTAATGAAGTAATTTGAAATAAGTAAAAACCCGTCAAGAATGATAAAAAAAATTTTTTTATTATTAGATAAAATTATGATCAAATATTACCGAAAAAAAATATTCACTGATTTACATTTATAAAAAAAATTTATCCTATTAAATAAATTATTGAATTAAATTAATTACTAAAAAAATTAACAATTAATTATTTTCAATTCAGTTGCAATTGTTTTAAAGCAGTTAAAATATTTATCTCCGATTGTTTCCTTTTTCAAAAAGTTGTGTCACGAAGTTTACTAAAAATTTCGAAATACAAAAAAAAAAAATAATAATATTTTTTATTTAATAATAAAATTTCATGCGGACTAAATCATTTTGACGTTTGGAAGAATTTTTCTTCGAAATATTTATTTTTACAAAATTTGGAAATTGAAATTGGTTACGTGCATATTCAAGAACAAATTAACAAATGCTTTATAACAATTTTTTTATTCTTAAAAATACCCAGAACCCTCAGAAAACAGAAAAAAACTTTAAAACAGAATCTTTAAAAGTAAATTCATTTTAAAATATTCTCTTTTTAAAAAAAAACAAGAACTGAAGAAAAATCTTTGTCAAATCGAAAGAGCGAAAAAACAAAAATTATGACGTAAACAAACTTTTTCAACGAACGAGTTCTGAACGGAATATTAAAATAATAAAAAAAGAAGAAGAAGAAGAAGAAGAAGAAGAAGAAGAAAAAGACCTGTTTTATGAAAAAAGGGGAGTTGAAGTTTTTAAAAGAAGATATTAGCGGTAAAACGAAACGTTAAACCTCCCAAAAGACACTCTTATGCAAAATTCGTTTACCCAAAGTTTTGCCTCGAGGAAAACTATTCCAATTATTAAACGGTTCCTTTGGTTGGTTCTCAAGTTTCTGCAACTATGATTGCCAATCTCAGCTTTCCTCCTTCTTTAGCGTAAATAAGGAAATGTGACGACCGGCCCCAAGGGACAAGATAAAACTTAAAATAACACTCGAGAACTGGAGGAAAGATTTGTTTATATACTTCTCTCCAAGTGGAAAAAAACATTTTTTTTTACATCTACATCTGTACTTTATAGAATTGTTTGAAATATCTCTCATTAACCGAGAAATTTTTAAATATACATGCATTCACTTTGTAATTAAAATCGATATTATTCTCTGAATTAATATTTGTAAGAGCTTTTTGAATTTCCGCAAAATGAAAGTAATCTGATTTAACTGGATAAAGAAATAAATGAGGTTCTCCCTAATACTCATAATAACACAAAGCAAAAGGCACGGCTTAAAAAAACACAAAGAACGAAAATTGATTTAAAACAATTTTGGTCGTTACGATACTCTTTGTTTAAAATTGAATTCGAATTCTTATTTTCAGAGTGCTTCAATTTTGAATTCATTAATTTTTCTTCAACTATTCAATTCACTTACATTATCAGAGTTGCCACAAAATTTTAATTTTAATTTTAACCATCAATAACTTTTTTTTTAATAAATATTTCATCATTATTATTGTTCTATAGGAATTAAGATTCTCAAATTTAATAACTTATAATAAATTTAAGATGACAGAGTGATAAAATCATTATTTTATATCATAAGAATATTGTAACTATAAATTCAAATTTTCAAAGATTTTAATTTTAACCCTTTTCAAAATTCAATTATTTGTAAAAATTCACGCTATAATTCTTTTAATATTCAATTCCAATTTAAAATTTTAAGTGAAATTCATTTTTTAATCAATTTTTATTAGAAAATTTCCTGAGAATTCAATTATTTAAATACAAAGATAAATAATTTATTAATTAATTGCATATTTCATAAAATTGTATTATTATGAAGAATTTTATCAACAGATTTTTAAATAATTAAATTCGACGAATTTAAAAAAAATTGTTAAAATAAATGCAATTTTCTATCATTTTATTTAAAATTGTATAAAAAATAATTTAAATTCTACGATAAGTTTTATTATTTATGAAAATAATTCAATTCTTGCAACGAATTTTATTAAAACTTTTTTAAAAGAATTGAATTCCTGTGAAGAATTTTATTTGTGAAAATAATTGAATTCCGGAGAAAAATATTATTATTCATGAAAATAATTAATATCTTGTGGAAAATGTTATTCAAATTTTTGTAAATAATTGAATTTTTCTGAATTTTTTAAAACTTTTTAAAAATAATTAAATTCCATCTAGAAATTTTATTAAAGAATTAAAAATAATTGAAATCTGACAAAGAATTAAAAAAATTTTTTTTTAAATAGTTGAATTCCTGTGGAAATGTTTATTTTTGAAAAGAATTGAATTTTTGGAAAGAGTTTTATTAAAATTTCTTAAATAATTGAATTGATTTGCAGAATTTTCATTTTTTATGAAAATAATTGAATTGTTTCGAAAATTTTTACAAACATTTTTGTCAATAATTGTATTCCTAGGAAGAATGTTGTATTTTACGAAAATAATTGTATTCTCTGACCAATTTTATTATAATTTTTCAAATTTATAAAGCATTTTATCAAAATTTTTTTAAATAATTGAATTCTCAAAAAAAATTTTATTATTTATGAAAATAATTTATTTCTAGCGAAGAATTTTATTCAAATTTTTTTAAATAATTCAATTTCCATAAAAAAATGTATTATCCGTAAAAATAATCGAATTCTTAAGATAAATTGTATTGAAAATAATTGAATTATATAGGAAAATTTTATTAAAATTGCAATTTTATTAACTAAATCTTGTAAAGAATTTTGTCAAAATTTTTTAAAATAATAGAACTTCTAAAATAATTTTATTTAAATTTTTTGAAATAATTGAATTTCTCAGATCTATTTTTTTCAATTCTCTGAATATATTTGAATTCTTTGGAGAAACTTCATTAAAAAATTGGTAAGTAATTGAATTCCTGTTAAATTTTTATTCAAATTTTGTTTAAATAATAGAATTCTTTTGGGAAATTTTATTAAAATAGTAGATATTAAAAATAATTGAAATGAGGAAAATTTTTGAAAATAATTGAAATTTTGCCAAGAATTTTATTAAAATTTTTCAAAAAATAATAAAATAATTGAATTTCTGTAATGAGTTGTTTTTAAAATTTCTATTTAAATTCATGAAAAATTGATATTTTCTAAAATTTCAAACTGAAACCTTTGAAGTTCATCTATTTATGAAGATTGTAAACGCAACTCTTTTGAACTCCAATTAATTTTGAAATTTTTAAGTAAAATTATTCATTAAATAATTTATAATTAATAATTTTATGATAGTTCTTCAAGAATGAAGTTATTTAAAAAGAAATTATTGTCAGAAATAGAAAAAAATAAAGGGTTTGTATTAGAACTCTTGTCAAATTTATAGTTTAAAATGAGGTAAACAAAAAAGACACCAAAATTCAGAATTTTCTTATAAGTTCTAAAAATTTTATTTTTTCCAGTACTTTTAATAAAAATCCCTAACATTTCCCTGACTTCCCTGAATAATTCTAATTTCCCTGACTTCTCCCTGAATTCCCTGACTTGTGGCAACCCTGATTATTCGATTTTCCTTTCTTTGCAATATTTTTAATAAATATTATCACTTGATTAACAATAAAAAAATTTCGAATTTAAACTGTATTAATTTTTCATTATCATAGAAATATATAAGATTTTCCGATAAATTATTGTCACCATTTTTTTTTTTAGAAACAGTTCATAATTTTAAACAAACTATAATTTATTGTATTGTGCTGTTATTTTCTTTGGATTTATAATTTTAGTGTGATATTATATTGTTTGATAAAAATCCATAATCTTAATTATTTAAAATATAAAATATAAATATAAAATATAAATATAAATATATAAATATATTATTATGAATATAATTTATATAATATAAATATAAAATATAAATTTATTGTAATTATTATTCACAATTGTAATTATTACTAATACATTTTGATTAAAGTAATAAAAAATAGTTACATTTAGTAATAATAAAGATTAATTGTGCAAAAGTTTGAAGCGGATTTGAAGATAATTTTTGAAGTTATTAATTAAATAGGAAATAATGCGGGGAATAAAAAATGACCATTAATAAGGGGTTACGCCACCCTGAACGCATGAAAATCGGATGGTTTTTTAGGAATTTTTTTGATAAAACTGTTTCAGGTAGGACTTCTTTACATTTATTGATGCTTTAGTACATATATTGAACTTTATAAATATTTAAAAAAAAATTGTTTTTAATTAAAAATGGCGGAGATATAACTATTGGCGTGGATCAATTTTTCCGGAGCACTCCTTGATGGTGTACATGATTGCCCGTGCAGAAATCGCCACTTTTGTTCCCGATTACCGCCCTGGCCCCGGTCGGGATTTCATGATCTGGCCCCGACTTCGTGGCCCCGACCAGGACCAGGCCGGGTTTGCCCAAGGATCTACAAACAGCGCACAATGGGATTTTTTTTACAATTTACTTTTCAAAACTGTCTACAGCCTACAATTCTTAATCGGTTTCAGTATTCTTTATTTTAAATTAAAGGCGAATAAATTCTTAAGACATCCCTTAAGGTCAATTTTTTAGTTCTTAATTGTTTATAATTTTTATTTTCAATCGAAGTTAACAAATTAATACAATTTTTCAAAAAAGGAGGCTTATTTTCTTATTCCGTTGCTGCATATGATCTGAATCAGTTCAAATTAATACAATATGACCACCACACAATTAATAAAACAGAAAGTAATTTATATCAATTGTTATAAACAATATTAATTAACAAATAGTTAACTTTGATTTCTTTCCACTAAAAAATGTTTTTTTCACCTTTTCTTTTTAATTTAAGTTCATTTAAAGAATATTTGTCCTTTTTGATTATAAAATAACTTATTTAAATTGTTATAAACAATATTAATTAACAAATAGTTAACATTGATTCCTATTCCACTAAAAATTTTTTTTTCACATTTTCTTTTTAATTTAAGTCTATTTAAAGAATATTTGTCCTTTTTGATTAAAAAATAACTTATTTAAATTGTTATAAACAATATATTAAATAACAAATAGTTATGTAACTTATGTTCCTGTCCACCAAAAAAATTTTTTTTCACGTCTTTTTTTAATTTAAGTTCAGTTTAAAAATATGTGTCCTTTTTGTTTAAAAAATAACTTATTTAAATGGTTACAAATAATATTAATTAACAAATAGTTAATTTTTGTTCCTTTCCACCAAAAATTTTTTTTTCACGTTTACTTTTTTATTTAGATAATGTTAAAAGACCACGGAAAATAAAAAAACAAAACAAAACAAAATAAATAAACAATTAAAAACTCAAAAATTGGCCTCGAGGGATGTCTTAAGAATTTATTCTCCTTTAATTTAAAACAATAGGACAAACGCACCAATTGTCGAGGGTAAACCATTTGTCGATGTTATCATGGTGATAACCAAAAATATTGCCTAAAATGTTAAATTTATTTGTGGTTATAATATTAACATATTATTTTTGACATTTATAATTCTTAAAAACTCTTAATTATTTTTCACACTTAAATTGAAATTCCATGTTTAAGGCAAAAAAATAAATTATTATTAATTAATAATTTTTAGTATTATTTTGAATTATTAATAATAAAAAAATTTTTATTATTTTAAAAAATAGTTAAATTATAAATAATAAAG